AGCAACACAGTGAACCTACAGGCTAAGTACAGATGCTCTAAAAGCCTGAGGCTAAATTGATTGTCTTCACAGGTTAGTCTATGCTGCATAGACTGAACCAATAAGCAAGTGAACTGACATTCACTTTTGATTCTGGAAATGCAGCCACATACCTGCAGTGGCCCAGGCCAGAAGCCAGGGGGCACTACAGCATGCTTCCCTGCTTGGGTGGAGCAGACAGCTTAGGCCAAGGATAACTTGCCCACCCTGCAGGGGTGGGGGGGAGGGCGGAAGAAAGGAAGGGGTGGGGGGGTTTGCAGGGGAGGTGCAAAACATCCTGTGGGACTGAGAGTTTACTTGAATCTGAAAAAAATCTTGGACAGAAATTCAATAAACCAATTTAGCGTAAATCAATTAAGTCTGGTACTACATCCATCAAAGTTTATCATAAACCAGTTTCAGCTATTTTGAAAGTGGTTTACACATACCAAACTTCTGTTGCGTTACAGATTTGAACCAGTTTACGATCACTTTTACCAGTATGAGTGTGATTTCTATCCCTACCCATTAAGTTTTAACAACTGGGTTGCTCTGTAAGTACCTATTAGATGCTCACTTTAAACTTCAATACATATAAAAATATCTTAAGAAACTTGATAGAATATCCTTGTGTGCAGTATTTTTGGTTTTCTGAACATTTGGGCTAAAACATGGCGGTATAGAGAGACAACAATGAAATAAAAGTTGGCTAATGTTTTCCAAACCTAAAAATTGCATCCGTCTAGCCCAGAGACAAATTGATCCTCAAAACATGAATGGCAATGATCTCATTGCCTATCATGACCTGTCAGGTCTAAATATTTACAGGTTTAGGGGAAATCATGCTTTTGATACCCATTTATATTTGGGGGTTCTATTTGATTAGCTATGCTATTCCAAGAAGGGACAGCAAGCCACTTGTGTGGCCTCTAAAACTTTACTCTTCTTATACTAACACAGAATACTGTACCTACCATTTTTATTACACAACTAGAACAAATTAGAAAAAACAGTACGTTTCCCCAAAAGCAGGTATATTTGAAATTAATCAGTCAATGAAACAGGATAGCTCTTGGCATGTTATGACAGCTGACAAACATTTTGCTGTATTTGTTCAGAATATGTGAAGACAGACAGTCAATGTAATTAAAAAAAAAACAAAAACAAAAAAACCCCAAACTGCTCCTGCTTAAATCTGTTATAATAAAAGGAAATCCTTGGATACAGTTCATATTACAAACACATACACACAAAAGACAAACATATATATACACGAACAAATACACACACGTTAGGATTACATGACCATATCTCTTTATTGAAAAGAAAAAAAAAATAGCCTCCACCATAAACTGCATGAAGGAATTTCAAATATCTTGTAGGACATCACCATATTCTTTCCAGCCCATTTATATCTTGCCTAAAACAACTTGGAACTTGTTTTCTATTGGTTCAGGATTTGACTACAGCTAACAGAGATACTACATTAAGTAAAAATTGGTGAAAGTCACTTGTATAAAAAAAAAGGGGGAGGGGGGTCAAGATCATTTTATTAACCAGAACACCAGTTAGCTACTCAAGCAACAAACTGTAACAGTCTAGCAGTTAAATTAAGCACAGACTTAAAAAAAATATTCTAATTCTGTTGCACACACAAATAATTCCTAAAATCGTTGCTTTGTAGCAGTTAGTAAGAGCTTTCAGTTGAATTTGCTAGACTTTGAGTAAATACTTTGTTGCAATCCTCCTTAGAGTTTTCCAGGGGGGAAGAAACCCCCATCCCCCCAAATTTACTTCTAAACCATATGAATAATGTGACCATAAGTTTTAGGTATACGCTGCCTCAGTAAAACTGGTCCAGAGAACAACTGCAAGAAAAGGATGGTCTTCTGGTTAAGGTACTGTATGAGGACTTTGGAGATATTAATTTGGCACTTGACCCTACCCCAAACTGTTTGTATGAACATGGGTAAGTCATTTAATCTGTATTTCATATCCACATGTGCACAATAGAGATAACTTTCTTCCCTTTCCTATGAATATGATATGAATAAATCCTTTTGTTTATCATCATGTATTCAAGTATCATGGGAATGGGGCCACTTAAGTAGATAGATGCTAAACAAAACCAACATAAATATGAAAATATTGGTATTTAATTTAAGGAATAACAAAGACATTTTTCATGATGAATAGATCACATATACTAAAGGGAAACTGCATCAAAAGTCTTGTGTGCTAGTCACAAAAAATAAAAACAAGTCTAATTGGTTACATGGCTTTGTTTTATTTTTACTGCACATCAGACATTACAGATAGACGATTCCTGCTGCACAGAGCTAACAATGAAAAAGCTAAATAGGAATACTTATGAATGACTCACTGATCTGCTAAACTTTAACAGAAGTGCTTTACAGCACTTTTAACTTTGTATAAAGTGTAGTTATTAAATTTTATTCAAGTTTCAAGCAGCTCAATAGAAATCACAAATTACTCGCATAGCTCATTTGGAAATATATCTTATCAATAAGAAGCTATTAAATTAAATACATACCAAACTAAACCTAAATGCAGGTGGGGAAGGAACAACAAGGGAGATGGTATATATAATCCCATTTGGTCTGAATCCTTCCTTATGTTGGTTTACCACTGAACTTCTATGGTAAACCTGGACATGTTTAGACAAGACACTGAATACAGCAAAGATTTATTTTTGTATTTCTTAGGTGTAAACTTAAGGACAAGATTTTTTTTTAAATGTAATTTACGGGTACTTAACTTCAAATACTTTGTAAAGGCTACATCTTCAGAAAGTGCTCACCACCCAATTCTGGAACTAATCTCTATTTTTGCTGTCTCAAGGTAGCACCCCAAGTAACTAATCAGTTTTTTAAATCTAGGCCTAAACTCTCACTCACTTAAACTAGACTGCACTAACCCTGTTACCATTTCAGACAATTGGAACTTCACCTTTAATTTTAATGAGATCAGGATTGGGTCCATGACTTTTTCCACAATCAGGGAAAAAACATCTTGCAATCATTCTGTTAAAAATAATTAAAGTTGATTAGTAATAATGGGATACTATAAATGAAAAAAGGTAAACAGTGAAGCCATTTATTATCAAAGGGAAATTTAAAATAACCTGCAACACTTTTATATGTGCAATTCATCAGGAAACGTTATAAAAGAACGAAAAACAAATGTTGGCTCATTCGAGAGGTTCTTTGTCATCATTAATGTATTCAGGTTTTCACAGCTGAATTGCTGTACTTTGAAAAGATTTTCATGAAAGGAAACTCGTATTCAGTGTTTAAACAAAGCTGTCAGGTTGCAAGATTCAAATTTGTTTGTATGTCCAGAGAATGTTTTAGGCTTCCTAAAAAAATTCTGGGTTAGGAGTGTTATTATTTCTTTGCACTTAATTTGTAAACAACAGAAAATAAGCTTCTGTTAAACAGTGTACATATATTTATTTGTTTTTGTGGAAATGAAACCACCACAAGTTAGAAACAGTCTAATCCAATATGGAGGTGAAACTACATGGTATGGCTATTTTACTTCATTACTACTTCTGTTACTCAAATTGATACAAATGGTCTCCTTCTGTTTCTGTCTGTCTGCTTGCCTGATCAGTACAGCTAATTGTCAGGGCTGGGGAGATCTCCTATATCTAAATAGAAGATATGCAGTTTGTACCCTGCCTAATTCGCCTTATGTCCTGCATGGCCCTCAGTATGTTGTTCATTAAAATATCAGCTGTTTTGTTTGTTGCAGTGGAAATCTAAACATAGGACTATTTTTCTTTGTTAAAAGGCCAGACTGTCGATAAATAATACACGTTATTATAAATGGTAAGAAATTACCTAGTAAGTATAGTGGTATTTCATTTTCCCCTAGGCTATGTGCCTTTCCTTACTTATATGCCTACAAGGATGCCACGATAAAAATATCAAAAGAAACAAAAAGAACAGAATACATTTAGGCCAGCTGGTCAGAAAACTAAAATTTAAACTTTGCAGAGCTATTTCTAACATAAATTAAACAAAGTTTAATTCACAACAGAACAAAACACAGAACATTCCAGATCTTCACAATTTGAAAGGAAATACCACAGGTAAGCTTTGGCATATATTGACATATTTAGTTGTAGAGTAACAAGTTGTTTCTAAAAGTACACAAAATGGCAGAAACTCAGTTCATCTAAATTTCTTTATTGACATACATACATGAAGGACTTAAATGTTAATTTTAAATACATAGGGTTTCAGTTGAAACACCAACTAAATGAACCGTTTATATTGTGCATGTTACATTCCTCTTTATTTAAGAACAGAAGTATACTTAAACAATATCAAACAGTTAGCATGATCAATTGATTGCATTACTTGTATTTAGCATTACGTGCATTTGGGATTAAAATTCATGTGTCTACTCTATTATACATAGCAAAAAAACCCCAAATCCCTTTAATTTGATGATATATATACAATAAAAAACTAAGAGACACAACTAACATAAAATTATTTGATTTTTCATTTATTTTTGTATGGAACAACTTAACTTGTGATATACACCTATATTAGCCTGTTATACCTTTGCATTAAGTTAAAGTAAAATATAGAGGATGCTTTCACTCTCACCTTTTGTTGCTATGCTACTTGTGATAATGACATAGTTTTAACATAGTGTTAATAATATTTACCCTGATCATACTTTAAAAGATGTCTTATTTCAAAGATTCTACCTTTTGAGAGGGGGTCTTCATTTAAATAGAAAATGCTACTTGAATACCTAAGCTCCTCCTAAAGGAAAGAACCATCCTTTTTTATGAAAGTGTACCTCTGGTATGCAAACCTTATGGACCAAAGTACACACCTTGTACCATGCAAACATAATTACTGACACCTACAGAGAGACAGAACTATCTTCTCTGGCGATCCTTTGCAGCAAAGTATGATTGTCTTCCATGACTGTCTTACCTGCGTGTCTGAAGATGGTTGATGAAGCCTATCCTATCCTTCTCAATCGAGACTCTCTTGTTGACAAGAGGGTTGTTCTCAACTCCATCCCACAACACCCAGTCAGAGATGATCTCAGAATGCCTCCGGCCCTTGACAAGGTGAAGAAAACCATCAAATAGATGAAAAATGACAAGGCATCTGAAGCAGATGGAATCCCCACAGATATCTTTAAACAGAGGGGAATGGAGCTCACATCATATCTTCATGCCCTCATCTTAAGGATCTGGAATGATGAAGAAATCCCAGATGACCTCAAGGATCATGTGACAATCTTCAAGAAAGAAGAGAAAGTCCAACTGTGGAAACAGAGGGATCCCCTTGGTGTCCACCACAGAAAAGATCATTGCAAGAGCCCTCCTGAACCATCTCCTTCCATTTGCTGAAGCGCTCCTCTCAAAATCTCAATGTGGATTTAGGGCATCAAGAGGCACAACTTGATCTTCAGTGCTCACCAGCTGCAGGAGAAATGGGGGGAACAACATAAGGCTGTCTACATGGCCTTCTTTGACCTCAAGAAAGCTTTAGACTCTTGTCAGCTAAAAGCATTGTGGAAGGTCCTTATGAAGTTTTGAAACCCACTGAAATTTGTCACCATCCTCTGCCTGCTCCACAATAGTATGCAAGCGGTGGTTCTCAGTAATGGATCTATCACAGATCCCTTTGGGTGCATCCACACATGCAAGCACCTGAGCTTGCAGCAGCTCAAATAGAAGCAGTGCAAATTTGAGCCGGGGTTTTTTGCTTCAGCGCACATGCTCGGACATGCACTTAGTTGTGGAGCAAATTGTGCCACTTGGGACAAAACAACCCTGCCTGGCTCCTCCCAGATCTGCAGCCAGAGGGAGATAGAGCCCAGAGCCAACACCTGTGCTGTCCCCAGCAGTATAAAAAGCTGCCCTGTCCTGTCCCCATCTGTACAAAAAGCTGCCCTGGCAAGTAGCTCAGGGCCACTTGCTCTCAGAAGCTTCTGGGGCAGAGCCAATTGGTACCTGAGGACACTACCGCTTGTGCCAGCTGGACTGCTGAAGCAACCCTGAGAGTTCCCTGCACCCTTGTAGTATTGCAGTGATTACTTTGACTGCTTATCTTGTTATTGACTATAATTGTTTTGACTGTTTATTTTGTTATTTCTCTTTTTATATAAGGACATATTTAACCATTCAAATAAAGTTAATCTTGTTATGATTGATTATAATTTAATCAGTCATTATTAGTGTTTGGAATTAACCATCTATTTCACATTTCTTATTGCTTAGCATAAAATGTATTTGAGATTGGTCCCATGATTTTAGACATGTTTGACTCATGACTTTAGAACTTAAATTTAGTGTAAGGAGAATGCCTGTGTAAGGGTCTGTGGTATGTCTGGTGTGTGTAGGCTTGCGTGGAAATAGAGAACAAAGAATGAATGATGGACGTATGTGGCCGCGATGGAAGAAGATTGCCCTCTTGCAACAGGTGAAAATAGCCTTCTGTGGTTCAATGGTTAAGGGCTACAGTGGACTCGAGTCAGCAGTGAAGGATTACGAAACACTAAATCATGCACAATCCTGATGGCTGAAGACTGCAAGTGATGGCCCCTGAAGATTACAGACCACAAAGCCAGAAGGTTATGACCTACCAATCCCAGCCTGCCAACAGGACAAGAAGGATGGCATTCGCGTCTGACTCAGCGGAATCCATAGGCTGGTATGGACAGCTATTACTATAAAGAATGAACACAAAGACAAGGCTTTGGGTCTTTTTAGACCTGCAAGAAGGAGTTTTGGGCGCGTCCAACAAGACCTGACTCCAACTCTCTTGGTCAGCCGGGCAGGCCACCAGACTGACCTTGAGCAACTCTGAAACTTGGTAACACCTTAACCTTTGCAGGACTGTCTAACTTCTGTGTGTGTGCTTGTTTCTTTGTATGATTCTGGCTTGTTTTGAAGTCATGCTGTATGCCCTGTGCACACAACACCCTTTATCCACTGCAGCAGTCTGGCAGTGAGGGCTGCTGCCTGGCTGTGACCTGCTGCGCACCTGCACATCCATTAGAGGCATCTGCCCTCTGGGCCAGCTGCCAGTGGGCTATGGCTGCAGTGTTGGCCATGTGTGCCCCTGCCCAGCCATATGGGCAGCTGTTGCCCGGAAGATGTTCCCAGTGTGGTGGCCTGTTTTGAACTGTCAAAGCATGTCCTCTTGGCTCCAGTTAGCCAGGAGGTCAGCCACCTTCAGCTGGGTCCAACATGCCAGCTCTGAGCAGGCAGGGTCCTACCACTGGCCTCCCTAGCAGGAACTTTGGTGCTCCCTATTGGAAAACTGAAAAATCCCTGGTGAAAAAATCCTGAAGTCACTCTGTAAAATACCCCGAAATCCATGCATCTCCATGATTAAAACAAAAGACCACTAGAGAGAGAAGAGAGAAGAGAGAGAGATCAGTTGGGCATGTTTTACTGATATATCTACAGCGTTAAAGCAATTTGGATGCCTAGCAGTGTCTCTATCATCATAAAATTAATTCTAAATACCTATATGTTTTGCTACTCCCCCAGGAGCTACAGCCCCCCCCACCACGGACCAAATGGCTCCTGCAGAGGCTAACCCCCCACCCTGAAGGGCCTACGTGCTCCCCCAAACCCTCTGTCAATTGCTGCCTCACTTGGCTCCATCCCCTGCCAGCTCCTGCAGCCCCTCCAATGGCTGCCCCCCTCCACTACCCCACTCTCCCAGGCCCCGCAACGGCTGTCCCTCCTGGCCCCATCCCCTACTTGCACCCCCAATCCCCTGATTGCAGGGCCAGCGCAGGTCCCCCCACTATGGTTCCCTCCCCATTCCTCCAGCCCCCCAACCCCTTACTTACTGGCACTGGAGCCCTGCTGCTGGCACACTGCCTACCCTGCATGGCAGTGTGCCAGCACACTGTGGCGAACCACAGAGACGCTCTGGCAGCCAGAGCATCTCTGTGGAGGACCCAGCCTCCGGTTGCCTCAGGGCACAGCCCGGGGCCCAGACCATGTCCTGCCCCGCTTTTATTCGTTGTTTTTTTTGGACCCCTGGATATCCAGGGGTCTAATTTTGTCCCCCCTTTTCCTGGGGGGCATGTGGGGGGGGGGGGGGGGACACGGGGGGG